CGGCGAGAGGAGGTCAGCTCACACCCGCGTCCCTGAGCTCTTGAGGTGCGGAGGGAGCCTCGCCCCTGGCAGTGCAGGATCACGGGTTCTCCTGAGACGGTGGAGCTCACAGTTTTAACACGGGTGGGGCCTCCTTGTTGGCACAGGGGTTAAAGTGCAGCGCTGTGAAGCTGTCCGCAGCCCCTGCAGCAAGAGTCCGATCCCCCCGTAGGGAGGGACCCACGGGGCGCAGCAGACCCCTCCTGTCTCCCCGCTGCTCCCCTCAACAGTGGGTTTCAGTGGATCGGCCTGTTCTGCTCCCCACTCTGTCTCTGGGGAGTCCTCTCTGACCTGTACCCCAGTTCTTGTGTGCTTGCATAAATAAGTAAATCTTAAAAAAAACACTGGGGTGGACAGCAGCCTCACCCCACGCCTGGGGCTGCCCCTGACCGTTGGCTCAGTGACAGAGGTGGGACTGTCATGGCCCACGGCCCACAGGGCTTCTGCGATGGCGGGTGTGACCGGTCACCTGTACCTCAGCAGGTGGGAGCTCTGCCCGTCCCGTTCGCCGTGTCTGTCCTCTGGGAGCCCATGACGTGCCAGCCGATGCCATCTTCGAAGATAACTGAGCCTTTCTCCATGTGGCGCGTCACGTGACTCACCTGTTGTCTGCCGGCTTGCCTCCCCCATCCGGGCCCTGGAGAGCTAGCGTGAACTTATCCTCTCCACCGTCTTCAGAATTTCAGAGGCGAAGGCTGTTCGGTTCTTGAAATGTCTGCATTAGACAACATTTTCACACTCTGCATAGCTCTCCACCACTGAGCCTCAGGTATGGGTATTATTCTTCCCATAAAGTGTCAGTTGCCAGCTTCGCTGTGCGAGACACTCCGTGGCTGATACTAGCGCTCCCGCGTGGGGTGGGAGCGGTCACCTCCCGGCCTCCCCTACTGTGCTGGCTCTGACCTGGGAAGGGCTCAGTGCTGCAGCGCATGTGAGCTGGGAAAGAGGCAGAGCCGGCCAGCGCCCAGAACGCACTGACCTGAGGTGGCCGGATAACGTGCGGGCTTTGGTGAAGCCTGGTCAGGACCTGCAAGTGTGGCGCAGGGCTCTGCGTGCCCGTTTCCCGCTGCCCCTCCTCACCAGTGAAGCCCACCGCGCACACTGGGAGTTCGGGCAACGCTCCAGCAGGCCCCACTGCAACGCGCGCGCCGTGCGTCTCCCGCGCGCTGGCGGCTTTCGGCATTTGCGGGCGAGCTGCTGGACGCCGAGCGGCTGGTCTGCGCGCCCTGCGGGGGCCGGGGGAGGACCCACAGACCAGACCCACGTGCGCGTCCTCTCGGGCGGAAAGGGCACAGCACAGGCTCCCGGGGGAAGGGTCCGCTCCCGCCAGCGGCCCTGGGAGGAGGCGCGCCCCGGTTTCTGCGCCCGGGGGTGTCTGCGGGGAGCAGGGTGGTGTGGGGCGGACCGGCCTCCGCGCCGCGGAGATCCAGCAGGGAGCACGCGGGAGCCCCAGCGGAAGAAGGGTGTTTGGGGACAGCAGTTTTGACTCCTTTTTAAATTTGTGTTCACGAGTAGGGGCGACCCTGTGCCCGAGGGAGCAGCTCAGACAGGCTGCAGATGACCTCGATGGAGTGGCCTGGCCAGGCAGAGGAGCCCGCGCAGGGGCTCGGGAATGCGGAGGCATCTGGCAGGAGGGTCGGGCGGGGGCTTCCGGGCAGAGGCACCCCACTCGGTGCAGGGCGGGATTGGTGGCCCAGTGGGGCCCAGTTAGGTGTCCTGGTGTCAACAGCAGCTCCTTGGCGGGTCCTCGAACTTTTCCAAGTTTTGTTTTTCCAGTAACCAGTAGATCGTCACGACTTCGCCTTAGAGTGGGCTCCGTCTGCGGGTCTGACGCCCCCACTTCTAGCGGGAGAGCTGACTCTGGGTTAAGCGCTGGCGCAGGAAGGAGGCTGTTCAGGCCCCTTCTGGGAGCCCCTGAACTGCATTCTGGATTTGGGGGGAGCCTCAACATTTCGGTACTTTGTGGATTCTAACCAGGAGGACTGGCCCTGTTAGCCCTGCTTGGAGGACTCTGATAGCAACAGGCGAACTCCTGGCTTTAATTAGACACACACACTTGGATCAAACGCACGTTTTATTTTAACTTTTCTTTTGTTAAAAATAACAATTTATCGGCCCTCCCTGGGGGCGCAGCGGGTTAAAGCACAGCACTGAGAATCTAAAGCCGCTTCCGCATGAGTTCGATTCCCGCCTGCCCCGGAGGTGACCACAGGGCGCGGCAGACCTCTCCTGACCCGCCCGCTGCTCCCCTCAGCAGTGTACTTCGTCGATCTGCCTGTTCTGCTCCCCACTCTGTCTCTGGTGAGGCCTCTCACCGCCCCTGAGCCTCTGGCCTGTACCCCAGTTCTGTATGCACAAATAAATAAATCTTTAAAAAAAAAATTTATCTCTTGAACGTAAGAAATTTTGCCGAAGCTAACGGACCGCTAACTGTAACTCAAATGCTTAGCCAGCCCCGCTGGGTTTCAGTTCCACTCAGGGTAAGTTGGCACAGCCATGTAACGCAGACGCGTTAAACCGGTTGTCCTGAGCACGAGGCGAGGCTTTCGAAAGACAACTTCGGAAAATACACCCAACCAATCGGAAACCTCTGGTTGAAGAGGGTCACCCTCACCACAGCAGGCAGGCCTGGGGGCCACAGCACCCCGGGGGGAGGGGTCTGATGCGGGGTTTCCGGCGAGCAGCCCAGCGGCGCCTGCCTGGCCCTTCATCATGGACTCCCACGAGAGCAGAGCAGGGGTCTGAGGGCGCCTGGGGGTGCCTGGGGGGTGGAGGTCTGCCCCAGTCACCGGCGCCCGGCCATGCAGGCCAGGGGTTGACAGGTCACAGCTTCCTGTCTTACTCTCCCAGCAGCTGTGGGGAATTTTTGTGGTCACTCTCGCCTCAAAAATCAAAGGTGGGTGGGAGGGCAGAGGGGGAGAGGATGTGAGTGAGGAAGTGTCCGGGACCAGGCCCAGCCCGCCCGCAGCCTCTTCCTCCCATCTCGCAGCCTGGGCTCCTGTCTTCCTCCTGTGTCCCTGCTGGCCCTGCCTCGAGCCAGTGGCCCTCGAGGCCTTCCTGGGCCTTCAGAACCCAGAGGGGGCTGCCACACGTGGGATGGCTCTTTGTCTTCAGCGCCCCGCAGGGACGTGGCCGCCCCCTCCCTCCCGAGACAGTGCCGAGAGCCGGGCCTCTGCTGTCCACTCTGCGCAGCGGGCCGCAGCACACAGGCCCGGAATGAGCCCCGCCCGATCAGCCTCTCCAGCCGCGGCGCCGTGTCCCCGGGGTGTCCCTGCCGCTGGTTGCTTCCAAGCGACATGTGTCCCCAGAGCCTCTCCCGGCCGGCCGCGCCCCTCAGCCTGCCCTCACCCCGCCATGGGAGGGTCAGAGCTGGCTCCGCTCTGTTTCCTTTTTCTGTTCCTCCTGATTGACCTTGGGCCTCCTCTGCCCAACCCTCCTCTGCCCCTCCTCTGCCAGTACCTTAAGTACGTGGGCTTTGTGCTTGCTTTTGTTTTTCCCTCTCCAGACATAAAATCCCTCAGCACAGTAGGTATCAGCAAATGCCTGTTGATGATGGACTTAGACACAGCATTTGGGTTTATTTGTTTGTTTGGGAGAAAGAGGTCAAGGGGGCTCAGTCTCTAAGAGCAATTTCTGTAGAGGGCAGCTGTGGTTCTGAAACCAGCAGCAGCAAATTGCCACCCACGTGAAGGAGAAAGGGGCGCACGGCTGTCAGGCAGCAGCTGCCTCACGCCAGTGGCAGGCGGGGAAGTGGGACAGGGCCCAGGGAGAGCTGCGGGTCCTGGCCAGCTGCGTCCTCTTGGAGGAGCGGGCGGGGTGCAGCAGGCCGGGCAGGCGCCCCGCGGGCTGACGTCCTGGGGGTCTGCGTCTCCCAGGTGCGCGTGTCTCTTGGTGTGCTGACTTTCTGTCGACCTGTTTTTTACCACTTATCTGCAAAAAGCGTGTCACATTTTATGATAGGGATAACAGGCATATTTTCATGGACACAAATGGAAGGGCTCATAACGCTAGTCTTGCGTCCACGAAAGAGAACCAGGCGCATCGTTCCCCAGCGGGGATGAAGAACCCCCTCTGTCAGCCCAGTCCGGCAGCTCTTCCTGCCAGGCCACCGTGTCCTGAAACACATGTTAAAATACAGCCTTTGATGCGTGGGCCCGCGGCGGGGCTTCTTTCTGAAAATCACCCCTGGACACTGACGGTCTGGGGCTGGTCCTGGCTCTGAGAGTCCCAGCTGGATGCTGCCAGTGGGTGGCGGGCACTGTGGGGGAGCCGTGGGTCACCCACCAGTTCCCCGGCGACCGTGTGGACTCAGACACTCGGCCCCGGGCGCGGGCGGCAGAGAGATCCACCGAGCTCAGACATGGCAGTCACGCATGCCCACCCAGCTAGAGCCGGACCCCACCACGACCCCCTTCGGCGGCCCCTCCACCCTTTGCCTTCCTCCCCCTGGCCGGTCCCCCCCGATTCTGCAGAACCTCAGTGGACACCCCTCTGTCCTGAAGCGGACACTCGCAACTCGCCAAACTTCTGCTGTTTTTTCCAGTTGTGTTTTCTTTTGGAAGTAGGCGTGGCTGGCAGTGCTGTACTGACCAGGCACACAGGAGCACACTGGAGAGGTCGGGCCCTCTGTTCTCACATGAAAACCGCGGAGACGGTTCGCAGTCAAAGGCGCTATGCAGTCACTGCTATCATTTCAGCGGAGCCCCCGACTAAGCAGGCCAAGAAGTGCCCACCAGCCCACCACTAGGGAAAGGTCGCGGGTCTGAAGGGTGGGGGCCACACCGTCCCAGCCCTGGGGTTCTCCCAGGGAGGGCCCCCCTGCTTTTCGTGGTCGGCCGTGTTAGGGTCTGTGTTCCCATTGCAACCGCCGCCTCTGGGTGACTGACAGGTCCCAGAGCAACTCCACTTCCAGGAAACAAAAGCATATAAATATCCAGCGTGCGTGTTTTCAGAGTAGGGAGCAGGGTGTGAGCCGAGCAGGTGCATAGTGGCCGGTGACTGCTCTCAGCCTTCGGCCACACGAGGCCCCAGAACGTGCCTGGGTGAAGGGCTTCCGTGAGGGACGAGAAAGAAATGCGGTAAGCCGTGAAGCTGCGTATTTGAAAACCTCTGGGGATTCGCCAGTCCTGCCAATGCCAGTTTCAATCTTGGAAACACAGGATGCGTCTCCGGGGTCACAGGCAAAACCCAGAGGGCGTCTACCTCACTGCTCCAGCAGTGGCAGGAGCCGCGACCTGCCTCCTCGTGCGCCCCCTCAGCGCGGCTCTGACGGTCGTTCCCTAGGTGGGAGGTCTGTGGGACGGGGTCCTCTTGGACACCCCTCTAGCGAGCGTGTTCTGGAGCGTGGAGGGGCTCCTTCTCCCCTCACCCGCTGTCTGCGAGTTCTGGTATCTAGGACCCATCTCAGGGTGTCTTCTCCAGCCAGCTCCAGCTGGGCCACACCTCCCAAACCCTGCGCCTCCTTTAACAACTCAGATGTGAGCAAATGAGCGTGAGCAGGGGCATGACAGACAGTGAGGTCCTAAGAGGTTGCTGGAGAAATGTGTGGCTTTAGTCTAGAGAAGGGTGAAATGGCGGGATACTGGAACCTGGGGACAATCGGGAGCATATATGTATATATATATATGAACTATATACATATATATGTATGTATGTATATGTGTGTGTGTGTGTGTGTGTGTGTATATATATATATATATATATATATATGTAAGAACTCCATTCTCTCGAGAAATTCATCTATGTTGTTTCTTACAGAACTAGGGCCCATATGGAAGTAAATTTAAAAAGAAACCGACATGTTCAAAATAAGAGCAAATCTTTGAATTAGTGCTACTGAAAAATGGAGCAGGAATCATAGGAAAATCCTAAGTTCCACAACAGGAGGAGGGTTTTCCAGAGTCCAGATGGAAGCATTTAGAAACGTCATAACGTGAATTTCAATCCTGGGTGGACATGTGGCATCGGCTTTCTTCGAATATTAGCAAGCGCTAAGATGTGTGAAATGCGCAAGGAGCAGAGCCCTAACTGAGCCCCTCCCCCACCTCACTCCGCCATTCCTGCGAGAACAGCCCGCTGCGAGCAGTCTGCTTGCTACAGCCGTGGCAACGCCGTGGCCACTCCCCATGCCACGTGAGACCAGGCACCGGGGCCCACGCCGGAAGCCCCCGGCCAGAGGCGGCCTCGCTCCCAAGAGCTGCCCTCGGATGCTAGCTCAGCTGTGAGCCACTTCTGCCTTCTCAAGCCGCCCTTCCTGTCTATTTAATGTGCGTGTCGGATGTCCAGTGGGCACGCTGTCCCCGTGAGCCGCACGGATTGAGGCCTTCCCGCCACCCGGCGCTCCCGGCCAGAGCCCGCCTTGCCTTTTCTGCACTGCGGACGTCGTGCGCACCAGCTCCCGCAAGTCTCTGGGAGCTTGGTCATGAAGACTTTCTCTTTCATGACGCGATGAGCAGCTGCCCAGCTATTGCTCTTACTGTTGCATGAGATAGTCCATTGATTAAAATCTAAAACCTAGGAAGAGCTCTGTTTGCATTGGCTACTATTTTGCTGCGTTTAAAGACTTAGTACTCCTTAAGAGAACCGTAAATGGCTGATGTTCTTGGTGCTGCTTCACAGGTCCAGAATACTCCCATGTGCAAAATTCCCCAATGTTTTTATTATTTTTCCTAATCTAAAAAATAAATGTTAAAAAAAAAAACTAAGTAATCTAAGCAAGATACAATGAAAAAAGAGCATTGTTTGTAGAATTTCATTTGGACTATTTTAATTCGTTTTAAAATTATAAAATTCCATGAAAACAAAATAAAAAAGACTGGAGAAAATTATAAAATAAATGCCTTCAAGTTCTGGCTAAGACAGCCCCTGTTACGTGACTTTTTAATTATTACTTGTCAGCTTTGTGACACATAGCCTGGGTGTGCCCTACACACAACTCCAGGGTCTGTTCTGTTAGATTTTTTTCTTTATTACTAGAAAGAATCACATTTATAGTTAGATGCTTGTATGAAAAAGCAGTTCTAGAAAATTTTAAATTTTTGCATCATTGAATATAGTCCCAAGGTGACATACGTTGCCTTAGATGCTTTCTTGGTTTTAAGTATTGAAATTATGTTTAGACCTTTAGAGAAGAGAGCTATTTTAAAGGAAAACCTCTGCTCCACAGTGGTTTATCCTTTCTGATTTGTTACCACTTTAAGTCCAGGGAAAGGCCTCTGCTTGGGCAAAGCAGGGCAGCTGCCGGGACGAATCAATGCACAGGATGGACAAATAAGTAAAAAGTCACTTAAAAAAAAAAAAAAAAAAGGCATAAGGAGGGCTCCCCCTGGTGGTGCAAGGGGTTAAAGCACCATACTACGAAACTCCAAAACCACAGCAGCACGAGTTCAATCCCTGGCCAGGAGGTGACCCACATGGCGCCGCAGACCTCTCCTGACCCGCCTGCTGCTCCCCTCGGCCTGTTCTGCTCCCCACTCTGTCTCTGGTGAGTCCTCTCACCCACCACACCTCTGGTCTGTACCCCAGTTCTATAAACATAAATAAATCTTTAAAAAAAAGCATATGGAAATTAAAAAAAAAAAAAACACAAACAGATTGATAGGAAGGACCAACCCATTGTCATATTGCAGAAAAATCAGATGTTAAAACCGATTTCGAGCAAGAGTAAAAAATCTCCATGAAAACCCACGGCTACCTCTCAGAGGAAGGAAGCAGAGCACATGTAAGATATCGCTGTTCCCCTAATATTTCACCCATACTGCTGGAACCGTGAATTTTTTATGCTAATTAAATTACTGCTGTTCAGAGTGTGACATTTTAAAACACCTGTTTAGTGTATTTGTTATGTTGAAGATGTAAAAATAACACTTTGATGTAGAGTATCTGTGAGCCTCCCATATGCCTGCTTGTCCACAGGCGCTATAAATCCTAAAAAGTGCTTCTTTCCTCTCGGAGACAGAGCTTGCGTCCGCTCCCCAGAGACCTCTCACTTAGCGCTGTTGTCGTCTACCTGCGTGCTGACGTCGCCCTAATGTGCGATGATGATGTGTTGTATCGATTGTAGCAATAACAACCTACTCGGAATTAATCTCCATCTTTACCACATGACCGTACAGAGTTAAGCTTAAGCACCTTCCACTTCATTGCTAACATTAAAACACGGAAGTGGCGAGCGCGTCCCCAGGAGTTATTTCCTAAGTAGATGCTCAGGGCCCGCTGGAAGTCAGCCGTCGTGAAGTCTGTTTTGACCTCAGTTGTTACTGCCTCGTAGCTACCTCACACGTACAGACACCGAGGAGGTAGACGTGAGCAGTGGCGACGTCTATGAAAACCATGTGAGCGCATCGCCCTTTGGAAAGCGAAAATTTCTGTAAAGTTTTTGAAAGCATCATTCCCTGCTGAGGAGCTGGCTGCCCTTCATTAACTGAGAGAACGTGAGGCGAGGTGCCGGAGGAGAGCCAGAAAGAAACCCAGAGTTTGAGGCAAGGATGATGGGAAGAGTCACTTGGATACGGAAACAGGGTGGGGTCAGAGGAGCAAGGCTGGGGATGAGCACAGGCCCTGGAAGAGGCGGCTCATCGCTACACGGTCCTCCTCCATCCACCGGGAACCAGAGGTCCTGGCAGGCTCAGGTCGCCTGCACACACTGATAGTGAGTGCCCCTGAGTTCAATGATACCTCAAAGGACAGGACTGTAGACAGTCCTGTCCCGCAGGACTCGTGCGGAAAGAGAGAGAAGCCAGCACAAGGTGTTTTCACAGGGATGCTTAAAATTGAGAGGAGGCTTACGCAGAAAATAAAGCTAAACTGACTGAAGACACCAGTGAAAGGCCAGGTGTACGGTGCAGTTAGGCTGGTGAGAGAGGGATGACCCACACCGTGATGGAACATCTCCATGGGATTCCTGGACAAAAGGTCAAGCCGCAGACCTCCCCGTGAACACGAATCCTGAAACTGCCTCACTCAGCCGGCAAACACCCCTGGGCTTCGAGCGCATTCTGGACACTGATCGCGGCCCCGGGGTGCATCGCTGAACAATGAAGACGGAGATGCCCGTCCATGAGGACCCGCATCCTAGCAGGTGCAGACTAAACATCCTGCCAGAGATGGCAATTCAGTGTTTGCTGAAGGGAGAAGAGAGAGAAAACAGGCGCGGGCTGCAAGTCATGGCCACGAGGCGGAGATGTCTGCACAGGCTGCTGTGACCGACGTGCAGACTGGGGCCTGCACAGCACTTCACTCCTCACGTCTCTGGACGCGCAGAGTCCTGGATGAGGGGGCTGGCGGGTCTGGAGTCTGTGCCGGCTTCCTGGTTCAGTCATCTGCTCACACCCTCGCTTGGAAGAAGGGGAGAGGGAGCAACCTCGAGCCTTTTACTGGGGCACTAATGACACCCCAGAGGGCAACGCCCTTGACCCAATCATCTGCTCCTCTTAACATCACACTGATTAGGGCTCAGCTTAGGAATTGGGGGGCAGGGGGAGGATGCACAGATACTCAGTATAAAGCAGGAAATTTCATCGGAAATGGGGAGTGAAGGCTGGCTAAAGAGAGGGAATCCTGTCCAGTGTGCGGCAGCTCAGCGCTGACGCTGTGTATGTCGCACGTGATTTATCTTCGGAGCCTTGGCCTTCTGCGTCCTTGTCAGCGTTTGGCATTGCCAGGGCGCCTTTATTTGCTGTGCTGTTAGGAGCGTAGTGATGGCTCATCACGGTTGTCACTGCAGGCCGCTAGTAGTGGGCGATGCTGATGGCCGCTCCACAGGTTCCTGGCAGCCCCGCAGCCCTTTGGGGGAAGAGCTTCAGTCTTTCACCCACTTGTGAGTGCGCGTGTGTTCTTACTCGTGAGTCTTCAGAATCCTTTCCCCGTTCTGCACACAAGTTCTTTCTAGGTGTGTTCTTTCGAGTATTTCCTTCCATCTGTAGTTTTTTTACTTTTCATCCGTTTGATAGTGTCAGCTACAGAGAAAATTTGTTTATTATGGTGAATTGAAATTATCAAGTTTTTCTTTTCTGGCTCACGCTTTTGGCTCCAAGTCTAAGAAGTCTTTTTCCTAACTTTGGGTGATAAACATTTTCCCCTAGAGATTTTTTTTATTCTAAAAATGTTTTTACCCTTTGCATTTAGATATTTCATTTGTTTGCTTTATTCTGGTAAAAATACACACTGTAATAATTACCATTTTAATGAATTCCATGTGCAAGTTCAGTGACCTTAAGCACTTTCATCTCTAGATCTTTTGAATCCTCCCAAATGGAAACGTTGCTCCCCACAGCCATCCTTCTGTTCCAGCCTCCAGACTGCCCAAGGCCTCATCTAGGCGAGCACACACAGCACTGTCCTTTCTGAACAGCTCGCCTGCTTCTGTACAGAGCCTCTAGGGCTCCTCCCTGTTGTCACATGTTTTAGAAAATCCTTCCTTGCTAAGGCCAAGTAACACCCCTGTGTGTCCATACCTGTTTTATCAAGTGTCCATCAGTGCACACTTGAGTTACTTCTGTCTTGCATTTTCTTCTAAAGTTTTACAACTTTTTCTTTTTCATAAATTCTGAACGAATTGCTCTCCTGTCATTTTCTGTTTAATGATTTTCTTATATGTTTTTTAAAGATGTATTTATTTGTGCATATAGAACTGGGAGACGAAACAGAGGTGCAGGGGCGGTGAGAGGACTCATCAGAGACAGAGCGAGAAGCAGAACAGGCAGATGGACAAAGCACACTGTTGAGGGGAGCAGCGGGCGGGTCAGGAGAGGTCTGCCGCGCCCGTGGTCATCTCCAGGGCCCGGATTGAACTTGCGCTGAAGCGGCTGTGTCCAGCTTGCCGTGCTCATCCTAGCCCATTGTGCCACCAGGGAGGGCCCTGCTGTCATCTTTTACTACAGTAGACTCTGCTTCTCTCATATATATGGTGTTGCAGGTGCAACCTTGGGAGCAGTGTGGGATGGAGGAAAAATAACTCAAAGTCCATGTAGCGAGAGAGAGAGACTAAGAAGGGCCCTGTCTCTGGAGACGCGGCGCCTCCCCATGGCAAGTCTCGCTTTTATTTGGGGTCAGATTCAGGGGAGGTGAACGAGTCCCTGGAGGAAAGTGTGAGGCCTGTGCGTGGGATGTGGCCTGGGGGTGCAGAACAGTCTGGTACAAGCTGGGGTGCAGAGGGGCCGTGATCTGGGGGCGCAGGACAGTGTGGCCCAAGCCGGGGGTTCAGGGGGCTAAGGGCCGTGGCCTGGGGGCTCCATTGTTGCAGCCACTCAAGCGTCCCCCCTGGTCCCTGTTACACGTCCTGTCAAGGTGGCCTGGCCGGTTGTGCGCACCTGGCCGCCCACCTGCTGCTTCCAGCAGACATCCTCGAGAGAGGATGTCCTGGAGACAGGCCCCCTCCTGCCTCTACGCTCAGCTTACCCAGCAGCAGCTCTGGGCGCCCAGCAGCACCCCGAGAAGAAGGGGCTGTGGAGATCCACATGTGGCAGTAAGAAATTGTATTTTTAAGTTCTAAAAAATAATTGAAAATTAAATGTACATTCATATTAACAAGCATAATTTTAGATTAATAGGTTGTTCTGGGGGGGAAGCAGAATTTATTTCCTATTAAGTGTTGCAATTACTTGCAATTAACCAAGCAGAAGGCCAGTGGCGACGCTGATTTGGCGTGAGGTCCGTGGCTGGCCCTGGCAGCTTATCAGAAGTGTGTCCCCGCTGGCTAGAACAGGACATGCCTGCATGCCTGGCAGTTGAAGGTTTCCACAGTTTCTTTAGGAGATGTTCTATTTATAAACTCGTACAGTGTCTGAGCAGGAGAATAAAGATGACTTGAAACGTCTTTTGAGTTGCGACCTCCAGGTTGATTGGAAATGCACGTGTGTAGTACCGTGCGGGTCAGCACTATTTCGCTGGGGTCAGGGCACACTTGGTGCAGGCACTGACCTCTGCAGGCTAATGCACACCCCGACGTTTGTAATTACTAGGAATCGGTAATGGCTCAAAGAGGATATAATTCAAAGATTTCTGATTCTGTATTAGGTTTAAAAGAAAATTTGTGTAGATGATAGAGCCAGGACAAAACAGTTCTCATGTGCACTCCCTAGCTATGTGAAAAAGTCATCACTTAAGTTAAATGTTTACCAGCAATTCACAACTGAGGTATAAAAAGTCAACAACTTTATTTTTTGTATTTCATTTTACTTGTTCCAGGAAACTCAGAGTAAGTAAAAAGACATCACATTCCATCAATTTTGAACTTTTCTTATCCGAAACCGTAACAGGAAAGGGTTTCTTAGGACCAAAATGTCCTCTTTTACACAAACACTTAATAAAAGAATTGCTCACACATTTAGAACTTCTTATTTCATTTAGAACTTCTTATTTTTGTGTTCAAGGGCAATAAAAGAAGTGTTTTGCTTGCAACTGTTGTAGCTCTATCATCGATCCAAGTTTTCTTTTAAACCTATTGTGGAATTAGAAATTGTTGAATTATGTCCTCTTTGAGCGTTATCACTTCCCAATAATTAGTTAAGAACGCCGGGGTATGTGTTAGTTACTAGGGTCAGTGCCTGCACCAAGTGTGACTTATCCCATGCAAATAATGCTGCTGATGAGACATGTACTATGCAGGTGCCTTTCAGATCAACTCAGAGGTCAGCACTCCAAAACGTATTGCAAGTCAGAGCATATCCTTAAGTTTTCCCAGGCAAGTGGAGAAGTTTTAGACTCCAACAAGCTATTCCACTCCCTCTTTCTTGTATCATCTCCCCAGCCAGATCCGAATTCAAGGTAGCCCTACCCCCAGGCCTTCTGGCAGGCGCCCAGGTCAGTGCAATCAGTGGGACAAATGCCATCAAGGACTGTCAGGGTCACTTACAGAACACGTTGACAGGGGATATACTTGAACACTCCCAAGAAAATGACATGCAACTGAGACCTAAAGAGTGTGGGTGAATTAGCCAGGAGAAGGGGGCTAGAAGGAAAGTCTTCCAGAAATAGAGAATGATGACTAGAGACTCGCAGTCATGGCCGCGCGTGGTCTTTGGTGGGGCTGCGGGGCTTTGGTGAGCGCGCAGGTGAGCTGGGAGGCAAACCAAGGCCACACCAGCGTGACAATTAGAACAAAAATGGGGAAAAAACTCAAGACCAGGGAGCGTGGCTTCCCAGGGGATGACATCAGCGGCCGTTCAGGAGCCTGTCGTGATGCGCTGGCGGGAGACCATGCAAGCAGCAAGACCCGCACTGCGCCCGCGCAGCCAAAGTAACAGGCGCCAAGAGAACCTGAAAGCTCCCAGGCAGGTCACTGTGCTGGCTAGTAGGGAAGCTGAAGGACTGTATAACTGAGAAAGCACTTTACTAGGTAAATGCATGCATGGGAAGTCTTTAATCTTTAAGCTTGGGCGATGTGCACGCCAGCGAGACACCCGCGCGGTGGTATGTGGGTATATCTGTACACTTTCTATCCTGTTCCATTGGTCTGTTTTGTCTGTGCTGGCACAGTAGCATATTATTTTGATAACTAGTTTTATAAGGTGTTCTGAAAGCAGGTAGTCCGGGTTGTCCAAATTTGCTCTTTTATTAAAGTACTCAAATATTCTAGGTATTTTTTCTTTCCATATAAGCTTTAGACTCACTTGGTCAACTTCTTAAAAGACAAAAAAAAAAAAAAAAAGGCAAGTAGGGATTTTAATTGAGATTACAGTGCATGTACAGAACCTTTCAGGAGAACTTGACATACTCACCAAGAGGCTAGAGTTTATCCCTGGAGTGTGCCATCAATTTATTGGGACAGTTTATTCAGGCCAGGACCAGTTATTCCCATGGCTAGAGATATGAAACTTGAACTTTCCCAAGAAAATGACATGCAGCTGAGACCTCAAGAAAAGAGGGTAGAAGCAAAGTTTTATAGAAACTCTTTTTCTAGGCATATAATTTTCCATTAACTTAGTAGAATTGGATAATAACACTGAAAGCTACAGAAGTAAACTGCTGGAGAGGAGTCACATGTGGGAAAGAGAGCTTTAAAAATCCCAGAGACAATCAGCAAGACTAGAGGCTTTCAGAGGCCTTTTACCCTTACTGTCTCGAGAACTTTTTGGGCCTGTGGGCATAATTGAATACGTTTCTCTTTTACTATGGTTTGAGTTACAAAACAATTTTAAGAAGAAGTGGTCAAGTTAAATTCATGGGTGAAGGTTATAGAGAGGAGAAGGAAAATCAGGAATTTGGGAGAATTTTCTTTCAGAGGAACTCTGATACCTTGTTGGAAAGCTTTGTACTCAGATCCCTCTAATTCCCCACTTAATTAGCATTTTTTTCTGTGCCAAAAACAACATGGCATTTTATTCCCATGACTTTGCTCAGCCACTGTGGGCTTAAGAGAAAGTTTACCTTCTTCCCAGGTGGGTCGCTTCTTCATTCTATGCATTGGCAAGTTACTCAGCTGGTCTAAGCCTCCAATTCACTTTTGGGAAAATAGGTATAATCATATGAACTTCACAGGGTCGCTGTGGGAGTCAAATGGAATCCTTAACTAAAGTGACGTCACGTGCCTGTCACACTGTAAGGCTGGATAGACAGCATTGCCTAAATGATTGGCATCCAGCGCTCTGTCCCCATGGGAGGCTTGACCCCGACCATCCTCTGATCTCGGTTGGGCTTGTATAGTGCTTTTATGGGCTACTGTTATTAAGTTTATTGCAAATTTTCAAATTTGCTGATCTATAAGACCTGCTACTCTATAAGGTCTTTCTCACTACGGAGTCTGCCTCCACATTCTTGTAGGGCTCAGTATGATTTTTTTGATGTTTTATTTGAGATTTCAAGTATGCAGCTAATTCAAATATTAGATATATTTGTATGCATTCTAAATACCTGTCATACTTATTTCATACATGTATGATAGGTATTTCTACTTTCATTGAGCTGTTTAATCTTTTAATCATGACTAAGTTGATTTTAATTCATCTTCCACTAGAAGCTTTGGCTGGGTTTGACCTATGTTAATGTTTTGCAATTAAACATGTGCCTTGCTAAAGAGTTGAGATCCTAGCCCATTTGTCCAAGAAATGAAGGATGAATAAATTGTTAGGGTGAGTAAATGTATAATGAGAGAATTGGAAAAAAGAGTAACAAAAATAAAAAATAAAAATGTAGAAGTCTACATAAATATGGACCCTGACATGGAAAACCCTTCTACGATTAGAAAATGCCAGCGATTGATTTTCAGTAATTGTCCCTCCTTGATGTTTAATTAAAGAACATTCTCAATTTAAAGGTCATGGTGCATTGAGTTTTTCTAGATGATGGTCGATGAGAATGTGTTTGGAAACAGCTATTGAACCCACCTGAGGCTTAAAAGATTAAGGAAGAGTGAGGAAACACTCTTAATTCTGCGATTCAGTCCTGGGGAGGTGAAGTACATTTTATGTACTACTGGCTAAGAGGAGAAAATTAACCAGCAGCAACGATAAAGGGTGTTGGGACTGGAGGATGAATTAATGGTCTTTATGACTGGTGAGGCTTAGATTGAGAATATTTTTGAAAGACTAGGTTCTATGGGAACTACTAGCGCACAATTGCTGCCTAGAGAAATCTTAGCTTTGCACAGAATTAGCAGCAATTATTATAATGTGCGCAGCTGCCATGCCGAGGCTTCCCTTCTAGAAGTGGGAGGTTACATGCAGCAGCTCTTGTACAGCTGCGTCAGTGAGAACCTCAGGAAACAAAGCTTTCTGATTCTTAAAATTCTGGGTCAGGCATCAGACCAGTTGGACATCGGCGCTAATTTCCAAACTTCAGATACTATGCTGTGACCCCCTCACATACTGATCTCAGCAAATGGAGGCCGCACCACCCGGAGCCACGAGGGTACAGGACTGCCAAAAGCCTGCGTAGCTGGGATCGTCCTGAGCTGTGGCCAGAGCCACGTGATGCTGAGAGCAGGAAACCGGAGCGGCCTGTGCATTGCACGCGTCAGCCAGGCAGGCCCAATCCCGGGGGAGCATGCGGGACTCCCCTGGACTAGTGGCTGAGGTCAGATGGACAGCTCTGCCCGGGGCACGTTCGCCTATCGGGAAGACGGACACTGAGTGTGATGGAGGCTGAGCATGAACATTGTGTTGTTTTCCAGGAAAACCACACAGAAATGCATGTGTAGCACTTTTCCACACACACACATCCTCAGACCTGAGTTCTCTGCTTCTGCAATAATTAAAAAATAAATGAATAAATGTTCATAAGGATGTACAGTCTTCTACTTCGGAAGGCTCTGACCAGAAAACACACACCCGCACACAGCGCAAACCTCACGTATGCACAAAACCCAACGTTCTTGTCCAAGAACGTTGGACAAGATCCTCTCAAGTGGCCTCTACACCTTTGTGTAGGGGACGGGAATCCCCCCAGGTGGAGGCGGCCCTCAAACTAGACGTATGGAACACTGACGGCCTCAGCAAGGCCCAGAGGTCCAGGCTCCTCTTACTTTTAAATAAACCGTACCGCACTATAGAGAGTCCTCTCCTCTATGGAACAGTTAGTTCCACAGCGTATAGAATTCCAAACGCCTCCCCAA